GGGGCTACACAGATTGTGCACGGTGCCTGGGGAACAAACAGAAGGTGACGAGAAAGGTGGGCTGAGTTGTGGACTTTTGCCAGTCTGGAGGGCACCGCTATTTTGTAGCTTGACTATTTTGGATATTTAAAGAGACAGCGCTCTTGCAGATTCCTGTGGTGGTAGGACTTAAGAATTAACCCAAAAATCACCCTGCAAGTCAGGGACTGTACAGAAGACTGTGCACGGTGGCTAGGGAACAAACGGAGAAGGTGAAGAGAAAGGTGGGTTGAGCTGTGGACTTTTGCCGGTCTGGAGGACACTGCCATTTTGAAGGTTTAGAAAGCTGCTTGACTGTTTTGGATATTTAAAGAGACAGCGCTCTCGCAGATTTCTGGGGCTTAAGCACACGTTCTGCTTTCCAGCAACCCCAAGGACACTCGGGGCCTGCAAGACCGAAAAGGTACAACATTTTTCTTGTTACTACACCCTATACCTGCTTGGTGAATGGAGGTGTGGCCAGCCCCACTCCCACCTACCTTCTGGCCCAAAGGAACTCCATCATAGTCTGTGGTCAGATGGAGCCTGGGTGCCCTACTCAGTCATCCACTGATTTTTTCTTTTCTTTTTTGCTTTCTTTTCCCCGGTGATTAATTTGCTTGTATTTGTCCGTTTCAAAACAAATAATATTATTAATACTCTTTGTCCTTTTTATTATTATTCTTAATTTTCCCCTACCAGGTCCTAGTTTTCAGCAATTTTTCTTTTCCCTGTGCCTGGTTGAAATTTTGCACCCCCGCCCCCATTTAAGGTTTTTTTTTCTTTTTCTTTTTTTTTTTCTTCTTTTCTCCCGTTTTTTTTCTCGTGATTAACCCCATTCCTTGTTTTTCTATTTGCATTCTTCCTGTTTTTTTCTTCATTTATTATTCTCCTTCCCTACTTCTTTATTTTCTTCTTAGTACCCTATCCCCAGATATTGCAGGTTTGCTTGTTTTTTCTTCTTGTTTTCCCTTTTCTCTTTTTTTGGTTACTGTTCCTGTGTAATTGATTACATGGGGTGTTTTTCATCGATGGGCTTTCAGTTTTTTGATGGTTATTCAATTGTAATTTGTGT